GAGTCTTGGGCGGCTAGGGCTCTTTATTTCAACCGACAATCAAAACGACGTCGTTTTGCCACTTTTCTTCTCAGCCCTTCAAGTTTCCAGCCTTTATAAAAACTAGTCCATTGCCTTCTAATTTTATCATTTAGCCCAATTAAAATTGGGTTATGACAATAAGATAGTTAACAAGCCCTTTATTTTTTTAATCAATAAAGCACCCAAACTTCTCAGTCTGACAAAATGGCCCAAAATATATTTATTTTTAATAACAGAATTACTTTTGAGATTCATGTTTTACATGTCGGACAGCATATTAAAAGTGCAGATGAGAGACTGAAATTATTAAATTACCATTAATGAAATAACATAAAAATAGTTTCATTGATCCAACATTCTTTGAATAACGAAATGTGATTTAAAATAAAACAAATAACTGAACGGTTTTTCTATTCTTGCCCTTAGGGCACATGATATTGCTAATAATTGACTAATGATTTTTACTTTGCTCCTTCTAAAAATAATAATAATAATAAGTCAACTTTCATATTTTCAATCCAAAAAGTGATTTGCCGATCATTCCTCTTAAAGGACACATAATAGAAAAACCAATAAATCATAAAATAGTTAAAAGTACTAATTGCTCTTTCTCAGCATCACCCTTCAAGCATTGAAAATTTCTATTGATTCATTCACCGAAAAAAAAAAATTGACAGACTCATCCTTTAAGCATCCAATAACGTCTTTGAAAATTTCTATTCTCCTCCCTATGGGCATAGTAGCAATTCAAATCACCAAAAGCTTTCATCCTGAAAGAAATTATGATTGTTCAAAATAATAGATTGGAAGCACAAAAAAGATGTTTCGAATCAAATTTCAACAGAATAACAAAACGATAAAGTACCAGAATGTGGCCTTGTTGCTTACATATTGCAATCATTTCCAAAGAAGTATTTGACAGTGTTAAGACACAAAACCAAATCCAGCATCTTTGGCTCTTACCTTGGGCATCTGATGACCTTCCAATAATGTTTCCCATCCTTTTTCTTTGCCCAATTATGTCCATCATTTCTAAAGTACCTTTGCGCTTTCTTATCAAAAAGAAAAAGAGAACCACCTGAAACAGAAACATATATTACACCTAGATGTGATTCAAAGCAAACTTCAAGATGGCTGCATGTGCAAGTGCAGGTTTTGCTTAGGAAAGGCAAGTAAATTTATAAGGCCCTGTGCACGTCAAATACCCTTAACCACAATAGTTTTGGTAATCAATAAGCCACAAATGTTGAGGACAGAATAGAGCTAGCTGATTCCAGGTACACATGAAAGGAATGGGCTTATACTGGGAGTTACTGGCATGGAAAAAATAAGCTAATTAAGTTTAGAGGTCAAACAAATGACATGATTTTTTTCCAATGTATTCTCATTTAGTAGAAAAATAAGAGAAGCGTAGTTCTGAAGAAATTAATAAATTAAATGAAGCAAGAACATTCTTGTTAGACATAGATTTTAATTGCAGTAAATGATCTCTGTTGATGGAACTTAAATGACGTCAGAAGCAAAATCTAACTCCCAAAACATCGTGTACAAAGCAAATGAAGGAGGGTGAAATTAAAAAAATTCTATGAAGAAAGAATATAGATCGCAATAAATGATCAGACAACTAAAGAACAGGTCCTACCAAAAAAAAAAAAACTAAAGAACAGGGAAAAGGATTTAACTACTGAACATCTAATCCAGTTGCAGGGGTGCCCAAAAAACAAAAGAGTTGAAAGAAAATACACTGCAGAGGAAATCTAATCATGAAAGAGATGCACTGCCATACAAAAACAAGGTTTAGTAAATGCAAGTTATAGATGCCATCAGAACAATTTTCATTTATCTAGCAAAAGGAATTATGCCTATCATGGCAATTAAAGTTGGGGGAATGGTACTTGGTGGCTTATTAGGGCGTTCTGAGGTAATGCCAAATTTCTTATAGTTCCGAAGAATTTCACATATTTCAGATCGGGATAACCACCAATTCTGTGCTTTTAAGCGTATCTGCTCAATATCTGCACCTTGTCAATTATAATCATTAAGTACTGCAAATAATTTGAAACAAAAAGTAGAAAAGGAATGCATGCTAGAGCATTTTCACATTCATATTAATTTAATAATAGGATTAAATTAGGACCAACTGTAATTGCAGGTGAACAAAATGGACCATATGTACATGAGCAGTAGACCTGGCAAACGGTCGGGTTAGGGTCGGGTTAGGGTTGGGTCAAAACGGGTAACGGGTCAAAACGGGTAACGTATGGGTCAAAACGGGTTGGGTTAAAATGGGTCATGGATCAATGAAGGCAGACCCTAACCTGCCCATCACGAGTCACGGGTCAACCCGCGGGTTGACCCAATTAAATTTTTTTTCTTTTTTTTCTCTATAATTTGTACCTATTATCATTAAAAAGAAATTATTCAAAAGATTTAAAAAAGAAATTCAACATCTTATAAAAATAATTTTTTTTATTAATTTAACATATACATATTTATAGTTTCTCAGAGTCACTTTCTTTATTTCTCTTCAAAGAACAACGCTAATCAAATTCAAAAACACAACACTTATAAAAATAATTTTTTTATTAATTTAATATA